GTGTGTGTGTGTGTGTGTGTGTGTGTGTGTGTGTGTGTGTGTTAAAGATAGGACAGACAACATCCAATGAAATGTCTTCTCAGTTTTATCATTGTGGGCAATTTGTAACTCATTTGGTTTTGACTTAAAGTAAATAGAAGAAAACGTAATCTCGTTTCAGCCAACAGTTTTGGGTTTGTAACTTAATTGAGAGAAGCTAGTCTGCATTCATTATGTTTTCTTGTCTTTGTTTATTTTAAGTAACATCTAAGGGGTTTCAAAAAGTTCGTGGAAAATTTTAAAAGTCTCTTCATTCCATTTTCCCACATATACTTTGAAGCCCCTTCATATGTACCAGTTCGTCTTGTAATGACTCAAGCAACAGAATAAAAACTCAGTGAAGCAAAAATCTCCCATGCCGGTTTCATTTCCAACCTGTAAGAAGTAGGAGTGTATCCGTGGGCTGAATGTTCTTTTAGACCTTTTTCTTTGCATTCTTACAAGTACATATAGGTACAAGATAGAAATGCTATAGTTGTGTGGGTCCTGCCAACAGGGTGTTAAAATTGTGAACGCATGTGTGTATTCAGTCTTTTAAGCTTTTGCATCGTATTGAAAAGTAGAAAGGTACCCTAGTCAGTTCATCTGTTTTCTTAATGGACATTGGATGTTACCACCTTCATGGAAATGAGCGTCCTTGGACATGCCTTTGGTGAATTTGTTCTGGGATAGGTACCGGGAGTAGTGATTAATTTTAAATTTGTAGAGTTGTGTATAAACGTAAAATTCTGGAGTTTTATAAAAACCATTTTTAAAAGTGTGCATTATGAGGGGAGCTTCCATGATCTTGTAATTCCATTCTTTCATGAACTTTTTGAAAACCCCTTCATATTTCTTTTAAAATTCATTTTCTGAGAAAGAACTTAACTGTAGCTTAATAAAGAAACTCACATCTTTGCATGAATAGATTTATAATCTGCTCTTGTATCTCACTTGGGCAGTTTAAATGACTATTTTCCTTTCAATTTATAAATTAACTCTTTCTTTTATTTCATTTAGTGCTCCTGTATTTGTGCTTAATTTCATTGAAAACCCAAAACCAAACTCTGAGTTGATGCCATTGCACAGTGACCCTGTAAGACTATATCTCACATTTTCTTGTTTCCTTCTCACTCTCATCCCCCCAAAGAAGCCCTGGTGGCACAGTGGTTAAAGCGTTCAGCTGCTAACGGGAAGGTGGGTGGCTTGAAGCCATTAGGTGCTCCAAAGGAGAAAGGTATGGTGTGGCAGTCTGCTTTCTTAGAGATCTCCAGCCTCAGAAACCCCAAGGGGCAGCTCTGCTCTGCCCTATAGGTTCAGGATGATGCCAGATAACAATGGGTTTGGTTGCCACTGAGGTGGATTTTGTGTATTGTGTGGAGCTGGATTAAAGGGTAAAGTTTGACTGACTTGTATACAAAGTGTGAATAGTTGAGTTCAGATATATGCATATTTGTACAAGGAGTTTTCTTTATCTTAAAACATACATGAAGTCATTTATAATAAAACAAAAATTAAACTTAGTGCTATGGAGATGACTCAAAGTGACCCTATAGCACCAGGGTAGAGCTGCCCCTGTGAGTGTCCAAGGGGAACTCTTTTTTTTTTTTTCTTTAATCTTCATGACTGATGAAAAAAATTTTAACAGCTTTATTAGCATTTCATCCACATGTCATACAATTCAATAATTCAATCATATCAAGGAGAGTTGTATAATTGGTGACATATTCTAGAACATTTTCTTCCATGTAGCCATTGTTATTCATGTAATTTTTTTCTAATTGTGGCAAAAATACACACAACAAAATATTCTCCAATTCCACAACTTCTACTTGTATAATTCAGTGCTATTGATTATACTCTGTGTGTTGTATAACCATTATTGATAACCTTTTCCAAGTTATTCTACCAGCATTGACATAAACTCCGTGTCCCTACTTCATTTGTGGTAACTGTTGCTCAAGTTTGGCTTCTTTTTTTCATTTGTATTTTTCTTGATAAAGTATTCACATATCATGCACTTCCTTGGTGAAATCACTTTTAAAATGACACACACACACATATGTAATCACAATCAGTTCTTTTGTTCCCCCCACCCTAAGACTGTAACTCTTTACAGAAGTAGAAAGCCGGGTCTTTCTCTGGAGAGTGGCGGTAGCTTTGAACTGCCCTGGCAGTTAGCAGCCCAATGCATAACCTCTAACCCACCAGGGCTCCTGAGCTAATTATTAGATTCCGTCTAGAGCAGTGGTTCTCAACCTAGTTAATGCCACGACCCTTTCATACAGTTTCTCATGTTGTGGTGACCCCCAACCATCAAATTATTTTCATTGCTACTTCCTAACTGGTTTTACTACTGTTGTGAATTGGGCGACCCCCGTGAAAGGGTTGTTCTACCCCCAAACAGGTCGCAACCCACAGGTTGAGAACTGCTGCTCTAAATAGAAAGCATGATTAAAAGTCTGACCTGGTGGAACAAACTCCAAATGCACTACGGGTTGACATTTTCATCCATTTGGGAAGTTGATGGACTTCCAGATGAGGTTTGTCATCAGTCGACATTTCACCTTTTTTGAAATGAGAAAACCACTTATACACTTGAGTTTTTCACATAGTGCTTGCTGTCCTTGGAAGCTGTGTTCCACACCACACCAGTTTCTGCAGCATTTTCCCCAAGTAGGAAACAAAATATCACAGCCACACCCTGTTCTCTTAAATCTGACATCACAAACAATGAGGTTTGAGGAAAACTCCTTTTATAAAGCAGTTCACTGTGACCAGAGAGAACCTTCCCGTAGATGATGCCAGTACTATGAAAGCTCCGCCTGGGGAGCTTTGTTCCGTTGTTGTTGTTGTTGTTGTTGTTGTTGTTTGGGGAGGTTAATCCCCTAGTACACAATATAATTAGCATAATCTTGGAATAGCTATCTTTAAAAGTGACTTTCTAAGATAGTTTTTGAAACTAGCCTATAATATCTTGGTCTTCACTTAGCAAATCTCTGACACCATTAGTATACCTAAGTCTTCCCTTCTAAACTACTGAGTTGAAAGTGAAGAAAGGCAGACCCATCTGAGGAGTGCATTCATTAATGAAATCCTGGACTATGACTTTTGAAGTGCTCCTTAAGAAACTTTTTAAAATACCGAGAACTGTTCATGCATTTAAAAATAAATGCCCACATTCCTGTGTTGGTAAGCATTTTAATTCTATTTATCTGTAATACTACAAGTTAATTATTTCTCACTTGTTTTCATTGTATTTCTATTAATGAAATTGGTAAAATTGGTATGGCAGAATTGATGGTAGTTTCTTATAACCTTTACATTTTAAACTTTCACCACAGAATGTGTCTTTCTTGTAGTAGTGTACGAGCTTTGTAACTGAATTTTATTTAAATCTGATTGATTACTTCTCTTCTTCCAATCCAAGAAAATGCCAGCTTAAAAACATTTTTTTAAGGGTTGGAGATAATTTGTCTTATGTTATTTAGGAGGACAGATTTGGGTTTATCTGTAGCCCCCAGATTCACAAGTTCACTTGAGCAAATATTTTTTGGCCTATCATGGATTCAGTGGTAGTTAGAGTTTGTAATGTTTTCTGTTGTTAATAATGTTTTATGTAAAAGTTTACACAGCATATTAGGGATTGTAGTCTTTATGAGCATGCTCTATGTTCTAATATAGGGTTGTTTTTTTTAAAAAAAGAATAATTGTCCAGAGTCAGTAACAACTATAGATTTAAGTGTTTGTTTCTTAAGGTACTGTATACTCACCGCAGAGCCTTGGTTTTGATGTGTAGTGGTTGTTATAATTTGTTAGGCACATACATTCTATTTTAATATATATATTAATGTATACATAATTAGGTAAAGGTAAACATTGCTTATAAAAGAAATTTATTTCTCTACATTTTCTGTGATTTAGTTTATAAGTTCTACTAATTTCTCTCATTTAAAAAAAATACTCTTTTTTTTTTTTTAATTTTTAAAACTGTAATTGGGTATTACCAAAGTAAAGGAACACCTCTTAAGTTAAGAGTGCAAAATGAAAGTTCATTAAAATTA